AGAAGAAGCCTTAGAATCCCAGGAAGGAAGGAAGAACAAAGTGAGCAAAAATATGGGCAAATAAAATAAGATTTCCTTCTTCTCTCTTCTAATGATTGAAGCAAAAATTATGTCGTTCTCAGTGTATGTAGAGAAAATAGTTGAGGCAATTATAGTTTAAATGGGAGAGAGTAAAGGAACATAACGGGATGTTAGGTTTCTATTTTTCACTAGAACTCATAAAATGACATGAGTAAGCTGTGACACATAAAATACAATACATAAAACAACCACTATACAGAGTGTACTCTGTATAAGTCTATACAGAGTACACACATGCAGTATAGATAAATAGCAATAGATTTCTTTTAAAAAAAATTCCTGTACAAGTAACATACAAAAAGGAAAGAAAAACAGAAAAAGGAAAAATGGAACAAAAATAAGTGGCAGCCTTAAACCCTAACATAATAATATGGTAATTACATTAAATATAAAGAGTTTAAATATGCCAATTAAAAAACAGACATTGGCAGAGTGGATTTTTAAAATGATGCAACTATATGTTTTCTACAAGAAGCTCACTTCAAATAAAATGACAATCTATGTATAAAAGCTCAAGTAAGCTACAAACTAAACAAACAAAAAAAACCCCCCAAAACTTAAGCCATCCTATATCTATATCAAATAAGTGAGTTTAGCAAGGACACAGGATACAAGAGCAACAAACAAAAAATAATCATATCTCCATATGCTAGAAACTAAAATGCGGAAACTGAAATTAAATATATTCATATATATATAATTTATTACTACTTTTTTAAAAAGAGGTGAAAATTTGACAAAACATGTACATCACTTGTATGCTGAAAACTATACAACACTGATGTAAGAAATCAATAAATGAAGTCGGGCTCGATGGCTCAGCCTGTAATCCTGCACCTTGGGAGGCTGAGGTGAGTGGATTGTCTGAGCCCGCAGGTTCGAGACCTGCCTGGGCAAATTGGTGAGACCTCATCTCTACAATTAAAAAAAAAAATAGCTGGGCGTGGTAGCACGCCCCAGTAGTTCCAGCTACTTGGAAGGCTGAGGTGGAAGGATCGCTGGAGCCCAGCAGGTCGAGACTGCAATGGCCAGGAGCAGCCACTGCACTCCAGTCTGGGCAACAGAGTGAGACTCCAACTCAAAAAGAAAAGAAAAGAAAAGAAATCAATAAATGACTAAATCAATGGACATATGTACCATATTCATGGACTGGAAAATTTAACATAGTAAAAAAATGTCAATTCTCAGTAAATTGATATACATGTTTAATGTAATTCCTATCAAAATCCCAGAAAGAGTTTTAAAATAAATATAAGTAAATGTATTAAAAAATCTATACTGATAGGTGAAGGGACTAGAATAGCTAAAAGAATCTCGTAAAAGAAGAATAAAGTAGCAGAACTAGTCTATTCAATTTCAAGACTTATTAGTTAGCTTCACCAATCAAAACTTTTTGGTATTGATGGAGAAATAGACACAGATCAATGGAACCGAACATAGAACACAGAACCTACACAAGCAGGCCAATTGAATTTTGACACAGGTCAAAAGCAATTCAATGGAGGAAAGGCTGCCTTTTCAACAAACTATGCTGGAACAATTGGACATGGACAGACAAACAAATGATCCTTGACCTAAATCTCACACCTTATGAAAAATTAACTCAAAATGGGTTACAGACTTACATATAAAATGTAAATTTTAGAGAAAAACGCAAGAAAAAGTTTCAGATGTAGGACTAGATGAAGAACTCTTAGACTTAACACCAAAAGCATGATTCATAAAAGGAAAAATTGATAAATTGTATCTGATCAAAATTAAAACTTTGGCTCTGCAGAAGACTCCATTAAGAGCAATAAAAGACAAGCTACTGGGAGAAAAATTTGCAAATCATATGCCTGACAAAGGACTAGTATCTAGAATATTCCAAGAATTTGCAAAACACAACAGTAAAAAAAAAAAAATTGAGAAATGTTCAGAAGACACTAACAACAATTTACCAAATAGGATATGCAGATGGGAAATAAGCACATGAAAAGATATTCAGTAACATTAGCCATTAGACAAATGCAAATTAAAATCCACAATGAGATATCACTACACACTTAACAGAAAGGCTAAAATTTTTTTTTAAAAAGTGTAAAACACTAAATGCTCACAAGAATGCTGAGAAGCTGGATCTTTCATATATGACTGGTAGGAATGTAAAATGCTACAGTCACCCTGGAAAATATTCTGGGAGTCTCTTTAAACTTATATTCACACAAAAACGCATGCATTAATGTTTACAGCAGCTTTAGTCCTTTTTTGAGTTGGACTCTCACTCTTGTCGCCCAGGCTGGAGTGCAATGGCACACTCATGGCCACCGCAGCCTCGACCTGCTGAGCTTAGGCGATCCTTCCACCTCAGCCTTCCAAGTCGCCAGAACTATAGACGCATGCCACCACACCTGGCTAGTTTTTGTGATTTATTGTAGAGACAAGGTCTCACCAAGTTGCCCAGGTTGGTCTCGAACCCGTGGGCTCAGGCAATCCTCTCGCCTCAGCCTCCCAAAGTGCTGGGATTACAGACCGAGCCACTGCACCCGACCAGTTTTATTCTTAATAGAAAAAAAAAAAAAAGAAAACAACCCAGATGTCCCTCAACAGGTGAACTGTTAAGCAAACTGTAAAACTTCCATACCATGAAATACTACACACAATGACCTGAAATTATGCTGAATGAAAAAGTGAATCCTAAATGGTTATATACACTGTATGATTTCATTTATAAAACATTCTTGAAATAATGAACTTTAAGAAATGGAGACTAAATTCGTGGTTTTCAGGAGCTATAGGGGAAGTAAGGATGAGGGGGAGGTGGACGTGATGATAAAAGGATGCCATGAAGGGCCTTTGCAGGGATGGAAATGTTCTGTAACTTGACTGTATCCATGTGGTCTCCTGGCTGTGATTCTGGACTGCAGTTTTGTGAAGGGCACAGGGCATCGGTCTTACAACTGCATGTGACTCTGCAATTACCTCAAAATTAAAAGTGTACGTTTTGAAAAAGAGGCAGATGCAAAGCAACACAATCTCAAGCTCTTAACTCCCAGATTCCTGGCCCACGGATCACTCTTTTCAAAACTTTCAAGCTGTGTACTTAAAATAATGCAGTGTTGGAGCTGGAAACATTTGAAATAATGGCTGCATAAACGGGTCCCTCAGACCCCAACCATCCTTCCTTTCACTAATTACAATCTAAGGAAATACAGTGCATTAGCATGCCTGGCTTTGAGACCAGCATCTCGGCTCCCTGCTCTTCAGAAGACTGCTTCTAAACTTCTCCTGCTTGGATTTTGGAGTGCGGTCCCAACAAGAAGTCACTGAGCCACTCACTCCTCCTCTGTCCCAGGTGGGAACCTGCCTGAGGCCAGGGAGTGGGTTGCAGGGCCTACAACCCAAGCTGCTTCTCAAAGACTGTTGTTTTATTTCTCAAGGTAGATCAACAAACTCTGCAGCAACCGAGACCTCCTTGGACCCAGACAAGACCACATTGAGACGCCAGTTTCAGGAGGACAGCCACTCTTTTCGCCACTGCTATGGTGTAAAATTGTTTTTGAAGAAAAGAGGGCCATGAGGGCCTGATGAGGTCAGTGTGAGTTATGGACACACCTCTGGGGCTAGGTATTGTCACTCACAGGTTGCAGGTGAGGAGACCGAGGCTCAAAGGGCAAGTGGAGGAGCTGATGTTGAGACCAGGTGGTCTGCACTCTCAGTCCAGTGCCCGTTCCTGTACCCTCCACAGCTGTATTCCCAGTGACACTGGACAGTGTTCAGACTGTCCCCTGACCTGTGTAGATGCACTGGAGATTGTGTTTGTGGGCCGGGTTCCTGGGGTATAGGAGAGTCACCAGGAATGGGTAGAGGGACAAGGCATCTGTAGGTGTGTGCCAGTTTTTTGCTACCCTATACCCTGGTGATGTGTGTGTCTGCATGTGATGGGAGTGTGTCTGTATACGTTTGAGTGTGTGTAGGATATGAGTGTGTCTGTGTATATGTGTGTGTGTGATGTGTGCATACCTGGAGATGTCTGCTCCCGTATGCCTCTGTGTATCTCTGGAGTATATGTGTCTCTGTGTTTGTTACTTTCTGTGTGTATCTAAGTGCATTTGTATGTCTCTGTGGATGTCACATATCTGTCTTTGTGTGCCAGTGTATGTGTGGTGTGGTATGTCTCTGTGTGTTGGTGTGGTGCAGTCTCTGGGGTCCCTGTGTACGTGCATGTGTAGTCTGAGTGTCTCGGTATGCACGTGGTATCTCTGCGCCAAGTGTGTTTGTGTGTCCCTGTGTGCAGTGTAGTGTCCGTGGGAGGCGACTCGTGCGCACGTGTGGCGTGTGTGCGTCCCTGTGTGCCTCGTCTGTGTACTGCGGTGCCTGCGTGTGGGTGTCCGTGAGCGCGCGTTTGCACGTGGGTGCGGCGTGTCCTCCAGCACGGAGGCTCTGGAGAGCCCGGCTCCCTCAGACTCCTGCGACAGTCCCCGGG